CTAGGCTCTAAGCACCGCAACAATTTCATGCAAATACACAATTGAGGAGGTAAAAAATTACTGAATTAGGGTTCAGAAATGTGTTTTAACATGAATATTTATTTTTGAGCATATGAAACTTGCTAAATTCATGTTACACATTCATGTCCTAAACATAATTCCTAATCAAAGCAAATCCAGATTGATTATAACAGACAAAAATATCTGCACACTGTTGAATTTTTTTAAAATTTAAAATAATTCCAGACAATCTGAAAGGGGAATAAAAATAAATGCACTCTCAGAGTGGACCCTGCATGTAAAACAAACTAACGGTGAGTTACGAACCTCCCTGAAGGGTGATTTATGGTATAGAAATACCAGTGCTGCTACAACTCTCTTTTATACAATAATGAACAGATATCATGAAAAGGGGCTAAAGTGATTTGTTTGAAAGATACACTACCTTCTAAAGGCAACATATTTAATCTATGAATCACCAACCCTTCAGCCAGTGCAGAGGTTTCTGGTATTATCAGGAGCAGATGCAGACTTGATCTAAATGAGGGAGAAGCGTGGAAGCAAGCATACTCCTGGAGGGCTGAGGCCACAGCTGTCTCAGATGTGTGCCACCACATTTTAAATGTCACCACAACTTAGAGTATCTTTAAAGCACTGATGCAGCTGATGTTGAATGCCTGTCTCTCCTGATAGCATTGCATCCAGAGATTCAGATCAAAATGAAAACTGCACATTAAAATACAAATGGACCTTGCACATGTTGACACTGGACTCTATAATGGAATGAGCCAAAAGTCAAGAGCACTCTTGCCTTATGGCAGTGGAGATCACAAAATCTTGGCTATCATGTTGAGCTATGAGCATACTGACATGACTTATTTCATGGATATTTACAAACAGATTTTTTTTTCCTTTTTTTTTTCTTTTTTCCTTTTTCCACATCTAGGAACAAGTATTTTCAGCAATGAAGCTGGATTCAGCCTGAAATTTTCCACTGGGGTCTGCAAGGTCTTGTTAAGCTTCAACCAAAACTGGCTGAAGGTAAGTAAGAAGTAAGCCATATTTTTGAAGGTAAGGTAGCCTTACTTTTCCATGGCTCGCTGCCAACAGTCTATGACTCCTTGTTCAAATTATCCTAATCCCGGATAAACATTTGGAAAGGCTTGTGAGAACTTCGAGCAAAACACGTGTCCATGCACATGCGCACGATGACACGTGGCACACGAGCGGTGGAGCGGTGTGCTTGGCTGCTTCCTTGACTCATGATGATGAGAGAGGCTTGGATCCACAAGAAGCCAAGTTCTGAGCTGAGTTACCAGAGGAAGTCACAGGGCACTGGTTGGACCCTGAATAACACAGCCAAATTGCTGTGTGGTATTTGGGGAATGGGAGAGAGCTTGTGCTGTATTGCTCAGCACACCAGGGCTATTCTGCACAGCCCTGCAGCTCAGCAGAAGGCTCCTTGGTTCGTGTCTGCTGGGGACTGCTCCTGCTTTCCAACTGGCCTAGAATATCTCAGCTGGCCAAACAGATGCAAATATATCTGCGCCCTCCTTTCCACCCCGGAGCTCATCTTGTGTGCTCTGTCAGCATCCCCTGAGATACACAGCACACAAACTGGCTCCAAGCCTTTTAGTTGCCACACAATTTGAGATCTAGGATCCTCAGGAGTCTCATCGCTGCAGCGCTGCGTCTCTGTGCTGCAGAGAATCCCAGAGCGCTGCCTTGGTTGTGGGCACCCAAGAGGGACGAGGAGCTGAGCCTGCAGCCAAGACGGCTGCGACTAGGTGGCAGCACTCCACTGGGCAAACCGAGCCGGGACTTCAGCGACAGCCAACGGCAACTGGAAAGAAAGTCAGATTGCATATCCCAATCTGTAGGAAAATGGAGTGGAGCAGAAGTGATCAAACCCTCCCTTACATCAGGGCTGTGCAGGACAGCTGGAATGTTAGAAGTGAACTGTGCAGCTCTTTTGCAATGAAGCTCAATGCCACACACACACACACGCGCAAAGTCCTGATTTGGACATCAGAAAGGGAAGAAAAACAGAACAAATCCGTAAGAACTTTCTCAAAAACTCACTGTTCCTCCAGACAAAGCCTGGCTGTCTTAGAAGAGCTCACAGTTCCCAAATTCACCTGGAACTGGAACAGCTCTGGCAAAGCAGATGCAACACAAACAGTTCCAAGGAGCTGTCATTTTGGCTTAGTTTTGTTTGAAACAAGATGAGATACCATCATCTCTTACCAGTCAATTTTATGAGAAACTGTCAACTCACTTCCCATCTGTGCTGGAAAATAAGCCTTTTCAGGTTAGGTGAGGATGTGGAGTCAAATCCACAGAGCACAGATTTAAATTAAAGTACCTGAAGTCCCTTGCTATGCCAGCAAGCAAAGAGAGGGTTTGAATTTGAGCTTCCAAGTCAGGCAGGTTTCTATTTCAATGGTATTGTCAACATTTATCATGTATAAAAGAGAAAGAACATACAGGCAAGAGGAAAAGAAGGACGCAGCAAGAGTGCACAATATGCAGCACTGAGGGGACAGAGCAGGTGGAAAGAAGAATGGAGACACATTATGTTAAAGGTATTTGCTTATAACTACAAAACGTGGATGAGATCTGGTAGGATAAAGGAAGGCACTGCCTAGTGTGGATAATGAGAATCAGAGCACTACAATGCAGGTAAGAGACCTAAAGCTGACTTCTTACAGTGCTCAGAGCTGAACAGTAGAGCTTGGGAAGGTAGAGCTATGTACTCTGGTCTAACCTTATAAATGCACATATATACATACACACACACACACACATATATACACATATTAAAACATAGCAACTGTCACAGCTACTAAACATCCAGCACTTGGAATCACACCCTGCACAGCATACTACTGAATAGAAAACGTGTCTGACATTGAGGTCAACAGGCTTGGGGCAGCTTCAACAGCTACATCCCGAATTATGGCCACAAGTGTCACACCTTGCTGCTAAAGGTGTCTGCTGAGAGCTGAGAAGCTGAGCACTGAGCTTCACCCTTCAGCCCTGCAAGAGATCAAGGGGCTGGAAGTGCAGTATTTGCACCCAAATTGCCAAGGTATTAACATGGATTTCTTTCAGTAGCGGTGACGTATTCATAGCCTTATCTGATCACTCCCTTCAGAATCCTAAATGCTCCACTAATGAAGAAATATCAGCCTCTGCCTGTGTTCTGATGCTGTAGATGGTGAAAAAAACAAAACCTGTCTCCTCAAGTACTGCTCACTGTCCCCATATTCAAGGATTACTTGTATTCAGAATGAATACAACAAGCTTTTCATTAATCGATTATTGAGAGAGTCAAGAGTGATTTATAACCTCACAGAATGTGCAATATAGAAGAAGGGTTCTCATGATTTTTCCTCGAGTACTTCTTGCAGCCCTGTTTGCAGCAAGCACTTGACAGGAGAGGAGCTGAGCAGAGCCATGCTACCCCATCCCAGAAATTTTTGCCCAGGTTGAGTTGAATTGGAAGAATTAAGAACCATCATATTTTTATTTTTTTCCTTCTTTTTTTCTTCTATT